CTGCGACATTAAGGTAAATGGGACCAATTACACAGGTCCCAAGTTGAAATATACGGATATCAGCGATAAAGTATCCACAAGTAGGAGATCTTTAACCCAACATAAGTTAAGAACTCACATTCATCATAAAATCCGTAAATTCTATTAATGGACGCGCATTCGTGGTTGCCCCTCAATAGGAAAAAATTCTCAGGGTACTTGATTTTGTACGCAAGAAGTAAGCAAATAGTCTCAAGAGATTGCTTTCCGCGATCCACATAATCACCAAGAAAGAGGTAGTTTGCTTCGGGCGGGAAAGCTCCGTACTCGAATAGCCGCAACAGGTCGTAATATTGACCGTGAATGTCGCCACATATTTTTAGAGGTGCCTCCAGCTCAAGCAAAATCGGCTGACTAAGAAATATCTCTCTAGATTTGAGACAGAGCCCCCGAATTTCGGACTCATTCAGTTGAACGTTTCGCCCGGGTCTAATGCGCCTTACTACAAGCAGATTGATACAAGTCAATTTATTGACTTGGAAATTAAATTCTGCAAAACTAATAAACCTTACCCTCTAAAAGGCGCGCAATGATACTATCTATATTCATTTTATCATCGCTTGCCATTTCCCCTCGTGGAATTTGGGTGGAAAACGACCCAAAGATGGCGATACGGAGAAAGTCAGAGGTTCCGCCAACTTATCAGATTAACTTTAACACTTTGAAACCTGGATATTAAGCCATTAAATAATGGTACGCGGATGACTTTCTTAAAAGATCAAATTTTGTGGTCTTTCTCGACCCCAGAGACATGCTTTACTAAAGGTCCAAAATAGTGCTTTATTTGAAGATATGTAAACTTCCCTAAAACTGGTTACAAGATTTGGCCAATCCACTATTTCTACCTTTAATTATTGCATGTTTTTACACTGTTTTGCCATTTTATTTTGTTTAACTATTCTTGGACTTCAGCCTCGCGATTTGTTCTTTCATTGGCAGGCATGATTCTGCGGCCACTGTTAGCTTTCCAGGTCTTCTGTTCATCGACGATAAATTTCCTTGATACGGACATAATGTACTACGCCTCCAATTTGGGCATGGAACCTACATTTATGTGTTCGTCATTTTATTCTCCAAATTAGTAATTTAGAAAACCCACGCATTCTGTCAAATATTAATCGTGGCTTGGAACTGGAAAGTGCTCTGGCTCACCATTTTCTTGTGTATCAAGTTTTAGGCCCTTTTGAGTCATTTGTATGATAAAGGCGATGAATTTGTTAATCACCTTTGGTTTTCGTTCTCAGAACTGGTGATTTGCTACATTAAACTTTTACGTAGCGTTCCGAGGCTTCCCTGAAGACGAAAGAAGCCACAATACTCAGGCCGAATATACATATTCAGCGCAGAGAAGTTGTTTAGACTATTGACATAGCCCCAAGGTCAGCCCACCCAGTGAGGTCCAAGAAGGCAAATTTAAAAGTTCAAAAGTGGCGTCTCACCAATACAGAGGGATAAACTACCATCGTATTACATTTATGTCTAAGCTAGTTTGCATGGATTTTCCGGTTTTTAATGACTCTATTAACTCCAAATGTTTGTTAGCAATTCCAATTGTCTTGTAAAGACAGCCACCCAAAGTTTTGTCACCCATGATTGCGTTTGTACTAATAGCTTGTTAACTCTGGGTGACAGCCATGGTTTATTACCGTCATTAACAGGTATACTTACTTCCGATTCTGGCATAGTTTATTTTCTAACTAGCCTAATAATAGTGGACAGAAAAAGCTGACACGCCAATATTATTGTCTTCATCGTAAAAAGTTCTGTTACTGATTAATTGCCGACTCTTTGAATGTGACATTGCTTTCAATCTGAATGACAGGAGACTATTTTGTCCGGATAACCTTTTACACAACTTGGTAGCGGTGATGGACGAGCCGCATGTTACATTCATAACTGTTTATGGTGTAAGCCAGTTATTTGGAGGCAAATGTTACCAAGTTGATGCCCATTCTCATGATGAACATTGGCTAGAGCAAATCTTGGTCGTTATTATGGCCAGAATCTTGGGTCAAAAATTTCAAGAGAGCGACTAGGCTACTTTACAGACAAGCGCTAAACAGGCGTTTTCAAAATAGGTAGAATCGGATATCCTATGCTGCTAGACTCTTAAAGCACCATATGAGTTGTACAGTTACGCTCTGCTGGGCCTGTTGATAAGTGCTTTTATATGTAACCCAGAAGATCGATGTTTTTAATGTACTAAAATTAGTCGTTTAAGTGGAGTTGCCCGTGCGTTTGATTAAGTCTATTCTCCTTCCTACTTGGTGTAAGCCAACTTTCGCAGCTCGGATTGTGGCCATAGGGCCGGGGCGTTTGCCCCGTACCGGTCAAAGGACATTCAAGGTACAATACCCGGTCAAGACAATCGGGATTCCGGTAAGGCTCTATTTAGAAACACATTTTCCCTAAATCAATTCTCTTTCATGGCTGTAGATGTAAAGAGTTTAGCCCGACCAGACTCGGACCGGGGAAAAAGACTTTCTCACTTGTGGCAGTTGGTTTGTGGTTAAAAGTAGAAATCAGTCGTTTTTTCCTCTGGGAAGAGGAGAGCATCATAAGATGTTATCCATTTCTGCACATCATCATATCATTGTAAGTAAAAACTACTTTTGGAGCTGGATCTACAGAATGCGTGATGAGGGTTGTGTCAATATTGTGGGAGACAGAAACCTAATTCAGTGATCAGGCGTTGGGAAAATTTATGTGAATAATCTTTCACCTGATGTAAGTAAATTTCGCAAATTACCGTATGACACGTGTAATGGATCTTTTTAAAATCGTCCTTGTTACACTTTTACCTGCCGCGCGGGGATGATGCGTTCCTTGCCATCGCTGTGCAAAAATTAGGAGTTTTTTATATTTCGTCAAACAAAATCAACCTTTGTTTGTCCTGCAAAATCAAGTCTCAACGTCCCCTTCTTTACTGATCTCGTCTTTTACGGAGATGCTCAACAGAGTATTTTCCTCATTCAGAGGAGCATGGCTCAGCCATTAAGTACTTTATGGCCCAACACAAGGCGTTCTTGCCTCTACCCCATACCTTTGAAATTATGTTCTGCCGAAAGGACATCAGGGGAACCGGTTACTTTGTGCATCGCCTTTAGTTACACTTATTTTTTGTAGAAAATGCTATATTCACGTCAGCACCGTTACCTAGCATGATAACTCACCTAACATAAAATCTTATAACCACTTTTAACTTATTCATACTTTATTACCACCTTTATATTAAGTGGGCATAAATTCTCTGCGATTGAGTCTTATGCCTCAGAAATTATCAAAATGTTTCAGAGTTTTGTGCGTATTTTTCACCTTTGCATGGAAGCAGTGTATCCTTTCGGCTAAGCATTCTTCTGGTGATATAGCCCGCTGTAAGTTTCTCAGCTCGATTGTATCTGAGATTCTAGACACTATTGTGGTGACAAATTTAATCACAGCGATGTATAGAAGTAATTGGTTAACCTAAATGAATAGAATTCTTCCATGTTTTCTACCTTTAAATGATCTGTGAGCAAAGCAGTTGCATTGGGAATAAGCAAGTCTTTCACTAGCCGGGAGTTTGAAATTTATTGAATGAACGGAAACGCCCGCTAATCTTAGTACTATGAACAAAGTGTGGGTGCCAACTTTGTGTTTTGTTAATGGTAGAATGAACTGTAATCCAAATCGGACAATAGGGCCTCAAATGCTGCCTGGGGTCAGTGTTAGTCTGCACATGTAAGAAATGCGACTCTTTTGATACCAATTTTATGGTGAAAACCTTGTATTTTTATGTTCCAGTTTCACCCCCCTATGTGGAGACATTAAAGCGCATCTGGCTATCATCTTCTGCTAGATGACCATATCTTAAAGGGATGAATGAGCGAACATATTTTGTGTTTAACACCCCAAAATCACCAAACTTTCCGTATACTTATGTAAAGTGTGTATCAGCCGTGGCCCATTTGGACTCGCCGCAGTCAACAGGCAGGTAAATGACCTTTTAAACCTCAAAACAACTATTCATTAGTTGATTTCGACAGGTATCACTTCCCATGTACGTTTTCTGCCGAGGTAAATGCATGAAAGTATACCAAAAGGAAGACATTCTTGTTGTTGATAAATGACCATATTAATAACAAACTGGTCAGGTTGTGTTTCATCCTCACGGAAATTTAGAGTTGGAGAGGAATGAAATTCCTCGTCGTTTTATAAATTTTTGGATCTATTCTAAATCAATCAATCAATCTCTAGTGGACGCAAGCATCTTTTAAGATCCTTAGGACCTGTATTATTATCTTTCTTGAAAAGTTACATTTCTTCGGCGGACGACCTCGCTCAACTCCTAAAATTTAGTTAAGGGATCAGGCGTGGGGATTTTTTAAAAAAGGAGCTCTACCCGTCTGTATAAGAATAATTTCACCGCGACATTGCGCTTAGGTGACTGTTTGTGAGCCAACGGAAGTAAGTTGATACATTACACCAATGACGGTGCAGTTGAATATTGTCACTACCGTGTACGCCGACAACAATCACTTCATTCCTTTTGAAAACATTTTTGCTCAGTTAGGGTGCCTAGGATTGAGAAATGCATTAATAAGAGGATAATGTGACAGCTCTGCATTACGGCGTATTTTGTGATAAAGGGGCCTCTCTAGCTTCGGTGCGAATATATTTACCCAATTATGCCATAACATTAAGTTGACATAAGTCAGGCGACCTCAGAGTGTGCTTCGTTTGATAGTTTGGCAAACTGGAAACACTTCCATCCCGTCACCCAGTCGCCTGGACAAAAGCCAAATTAAACTGAAATAATAACAATGAATATTTATTGCGCTACACAAAAATAGTCGTAGAAATTCGATGCTACCCGAGAAAAATCAAATGATATGTTGAAAATGGAGAAGGAGCTTCTCTTTTGGCGAAAGGGATCTTCTAAAAAACGGTCATTTACCGACAAATCGTAATTTAGGGCAGCCTTAAAAAGCTGTCACCCCTGCGTCGAAAGGTGTGTTAATGTATCGTGGAAATCTTGGCAAACGGACGCTTAGTTTAGTGGATTTAGCTTCAGCCAAGTCCTTCGTCTTATTTTGCATCCATTCTGGAAGAGTTAACCTGTTAAGGGATTTCGCAACTCGAACCTGTAAGGCAGTTTTTGTTGGGGTGACGGTCAAAGATGTCAACTTTTCATTGGACAATTCCTCTCTCACCGCCAGTTCGTTGACCATTCTGCATTGTGTGCACTTATTTGCTCTCAAAATGTGCAGAAAATCATTTTTTGGTGTCACATACTCATCAAACTCATAGTCTTCGTCTGGACTGCAACTATTGACCAACTCGCAGGGATTTACTTGTGTTACTTTTGCCTTCTGAGCTAGGATAGATAGTGGAATCTCATACCCTTCCCATTCACTCGGCGTACTCCCCCATTCATAGTCCCCATCCGAATCGGACACGTAGACAGACTCCATTCTATCGAAGTGTGAGTCGGGAGGTAAGCCAATCCCCGTCTTACGCTTGTGTAAAGGAGACTCCAGTAAAGGCTGGCTCCGCCATTTGTCAAAGCTGAAGCCCTCATGCCCGCGTAGGAGGTTTGTGGAGAAGTCAGAGAGCCGCTTAAAGGGCGTTGAGGATGCAATGACTTGACGTAACTGCCGACCACTGTTCCAGACGGCAACCTCAATGGAACCCATGGACTGACGTCTGCGACTGATTTTGGGGAGACAGAGCAGACTCGGTACGTGTGCTTTTGGTTCGTTGCTGAAGACCGCTGTTGTGCTACGTGGAGTACGCAAGGATTTCGGTCTTCCTGATATCCGTTCCACGAGACCTTCGCGTGCGTCAACGCAAGGAATCAGTACGCGGCCTATTTGCTCCGAAAATCTAACGTTTTTTCGACTCTCCGAACGAATGCCGAATTGGAGTCCATTGAGTGAGTAACGCGGGTCCTCTAGCAAGGGAATTGAGGTTTCGGAAATGAGATAGCTGCAACGATTCGATTGCACCATAATTTTCTGTTTACAACGGCTTGCACTAGTGGGTAGAGGAGACGCATTACCAGATGCGTCTAAAAATAAATTTAATACTATCATGGCATTATTCTATAAAAGACAAATGACTCCACAACCTCCAACCAGTAGTTTACAGAAACGCTCACACAAATTGTTTTAGTTTGGGATAGTCATCCACCCATTACAAAATAAGTGCAGCAAACCTGTGATAAAAATAAAGCAAGATTACTGTTAACTCTTATCTGAGAAAGGTTATTACCAAAAATAGCTTATTTCTACTGTACTTTTTCCCAAGTCATACACACGTGTGTGTGGGGTTTGATACATGGAAATCGAACTAAAATGGTGTGCTATGAAACATAACTGGCAACAAAAAGTGACATGAAGATTTTGTGAATGGACCCGATTTATACCATCATCTTCAAAGTGTTTTCGATGGTTTGATCAGTGTGTTTTTCACTTCGTGCCAAACGACTGATCGGATTGATGGAAGGAACCAGAAAATACTAATTTGATTCATGCTTGGATGCTATCATTTTACTGACAACTTTAGGGGATTAACCAAAAGAACAGGCTAATACCAAGAAATATGAAAGAGTAAAGGTTTCACAACTTTCACCACTAGCGGTTTGGTGATTTGACCTTTGACGTCTACCTCCGATCCGGATATTCTTCTCCCTTTGATTATGCCTTATGAGTCCAACAAACCAAAATGTGTGCGTTTACAAATGCTGCCAATGAATATAGTAATGTTATCAAAGCGAAACATGGTAGAGTTGCAAAGCTTACCCCTGTGCACAGTCTCGTGACTTCTACTACTTAACATCCTCATGTTGGTTGATGTCAGCGGTCCCGATGACCTTTTGATGCATAAACGAGTACAAAATATGGAATGATGGGGTGGAGTGGAATAAAAAGATTGGAAACTGCCAAATCAATGTGTCAATCGCGTGCCGTTGCTAGTGTGTTCCGGTGACGCCCACTGACGCTCCCTCGTGCGGCCGCCTCACCTTCTCCCGCCGAACCGATATTCCCCATTGGCCAACGCCACCTGATTCCCCATTGGCTAATTTCACACCAAAAGGCTGCAGTAGGAGGAGTTCGGGCACGGCGTTTTGCTTAGGCCGAGGGCCGAGGCCAGTGAGAATCAGACATTAACTAGTGCCAAGGCCTAATGGATAAATGTATTGGCTCAACGGCTACTGAACGTTTAACTGATGGACATCATTTTTAATCGCGACGAGGATTTTCTGGGTTTTCTTTTGATTGAAGTACCGACTCGTTAATTAGTTCTGAACTATCATGGCACTTTCCCGATATTACATTATCCTCTAATGCACTTTGTTTAGAAATAAAGCTTGTAGTTTAGCGATAAGTGCCATGTCGGACAACCCTTCAAATAGTGTCGGGAATGCTGTTTTTTTAACACTCTTTCTAATCTTCTTGCATATGCTCTACGAAGTATGCATTACAACTACCTTACAATAAAGTTCGGTAGATTTCTTAGGTAAATTGGCTACAATTAGTGCAAATGATGGAAATTAGTGAGGAAAATTGCTGTGTTCACTTTCCAGCCTTCTTCTTGCTTTCATTTTTCTTTGGGCGTTGAATTTTGGAATATCCGTCCAGCAGATAATGCACGAAGTCTTAAATGAAAAGACCATATTTCAGAGTTTATTAAATCCACAACTTCCTTTGTAGAATGCCAATTCATCTGCCCAGTTACTGTTATTTTCCAATGAAGCCTAAAGAATTAAGCAGTTTTTATATTTAAGTTGTCATATAATAAGAGGAAAGTTGTTGCAAGGTGTTCTTATCAAATAACTGACCCCTACCTTCAAACTTGGGAGAATCAGTTTTCAGGGATCCCCAGTGATTTCAAGTTATGTATGTCCCAATATGCAAATATAGGTTTATGTTTAGTCCTCCCTTCATGCCAAGAGTTTCCCATTTCTTGGCAGGATCGGCAGGATCCAAGCCCACAAACATGAACAGTAGACCTTTCCAGCGCTGTAACATCCTGAATGCAGTGATGAGCAACAAATGGTGTATACACTTAGCCTACCCACAATCGGTTAGCATTTCGAGTAGGGATGAATTCCACCCCACGTCAAGGTGATAAATTTTGGCCCTTAAAAAAACACATCCACACTCTGCAAGTAAGTAGTTTTCTTAATGCCTAGCTGTCCCAACTTCGCAGATTTTAGATTATATAAAGTTATCACGGCAGCTTCCTTGGCAAAAAAGCAGTTGTATGCCTAAGTAGACTGCTGTTTGCGAAAAAAGGGAAAAAACAATCTGCAGCGCTTTGGATGGCTTACTTCAATCTCCGTGCTATCTGATAGTGTCAGTTGTAATTGTAACCGACGCATAAAGTGAGGTAACTCAGACGTGCATAACGTACTCATGTAGGCAAAGTATCCGTCCGCTGCCGTACTGGATTCGCTCATAAGATCCCTCACTTGCTTCTTCGTTAGAGCATCGCCTCTAGTCAGGAGTAACTCCGATAGGTAATCCGCTGCCAAGATGCCCTTGTTCTTGTCATCCAGTACCTTGATGCAGATGAGGATGGAGAAAAAGCTCTTAATAAACAACACGGAGATACTTTAACAGTGCGATCGCACTCTCTGCCGATTGGATAAAAGCCATCAACCCTTCCTCTTATCAGTACAGCCATAGTTGGCGACCAAGATTAAAACCCCTTTTTGGAGTAACAACCTCAAAGAATTTCATGGTCTATTTACAGTGAACGATCGAAGAAGATGCTATTTCACGTACTCTGAGAAATTCGTCCCACAATATCTCCCGAAGGCCTATGGTCACTAAATTATGGTAGCATGATTGAGGTAACCTTGACAACTGAGAGAGAGTAACAAATGGTCTAAAATAAGCGAAAGGTTTAGGTCCCTGCACACACATTAAGAGTGGCAACCACAACAATCCCTTGTGAGATGTCTCCTATCGCGTCAAAAATCCTCTCGGGAAAGAATATTAATATTTCCTTTTCTGTGCTTAACTATCTCATTTTACCAAGAACATCTACTCTGTTTTCTACTGCTGGGTGATAAGCCTTTGCGTGACGGAAGAAATGCATATACTGCGGATAGGAGAACCGGTGATGACCTCTAACAGAAGGGCTGAAAATGACGTCTACCTTCAGCAAATTGTCCAGTCCTGTGGTATATATGGAAGCCATTAGCAAGTGAAGTGACACTAGTCATGAACCATCTGGAACAGTTAGATGCGAAACTGTCCACCGTGCCCGTATGCAGATGTCAATAATGTGAACAGGCGGTACCTCCTCCACTTCTCTACTAGCTGGGTGGAACCCAGATAGATATGGCTGGGCAGCTCTGACGTGCGAACAACGTGGCAAGAGGGATTAGGAGCAAAGCTATACCCCCATGGAACTGCATTAAATCTCATGCTCTCATGACTCAGCATTTAGGCCAGTGTTCTAACGGCTAGCAGTGAATACAAGTCACTTTATGCCAGTACTTTATTTCAACTGCTTAATGTATTCATTAGATTATGAAAATCAGTCACAACATTGAGTACTACTATTTCTATCCCATGAAAGGCGTTTAGCTAACATCAAAAAAACAAAAAATACTTCCCATTATGTTTCATTTTACCATAAATATCATTCTGTTTCTTTTTGGTGCCTAATAGATCTAGCAGCCTTTGGCATCAAAGCATGGCTTCGGAGCCATCACCATTCAAGTGATTAAAAAAGCCATAGCACTTTATCATACTTACGGCAAAAGCATTGAAAAGGCGTTTGAAGTGCTCTTCTGGGGGCAGATAGATTGTCTTCAATATTTGACTGAATTTTTCAAATGAAATTCGACCTAACGTAGAAGTATCCCCTAAATAAGTTGATTCACCGGTGAGAGGATTTAAAAGTGGACCCAAATGTGTACTTTTTGTCTCCAAACTAGTGATGGCAGGTCTAAACCAACTTACTTTCATCAGAACCACCATCAAGCTTTTGCTCTTCCACAATTTCTCGCACCTCTTTCTCAGTTGGAGCTTGATCAAGCAGCTGCAGAGCTTCCACAACGCTGCTGATTGGAATCTTTCCCCTGGAATCCTTGTCCAACTCCTTGAATACGACCTCGCTCACTAAAAATGTGTAGTAATTTCATGTTCGGTCTTAATTATGCTTCCTTTCCATATTTTTCAAGCAGCAAAAGGCCTACTTTTCAATACTTCAGCCGGAATATCCGGTTTTTCACTTTCTTTAGGAGGTAGGGCCTTAAATAAAAGACAATTATCAGCACAAATTTATCTCTAAAACATGTCTTGCCGGGTGGCTTAGGTCACTAAAACTGATCTTGTACTTGTATAAATATTCGACTCTTACCAGTGCCCTTCGGTGTCCATCATGAAAAATAGGGAAATGTTTTTGAAATTGATCGGATTCTTCTAACAGATCACATTATTATTTTGTTCCATTGTCATATCAACTATTTCTACTAAATAGGAAGATACCCTAGAATTTCGTTATTATTTAGTATTAAGATGTATTGAGACACAATTTATAGACATACTTCAGGCTAGATACACTCGAATTATCCCGTTTTTGAAAGTACCACTTTTGATTACCCTGAATTTACTTTTCGGCGGGTTTCGCTTAGCGTGATATGTTTACACCGTTACTTAAAATCAAATATCAAAGACGGTTCCTCCTGTGAACGGGGATTTAATCCTCTCTATTTGCACCGAAGTTAAAAAAATAGTATTAAAACTAAAATGTTTGTCTCACATCCAGGTCAGAGTGCTTTAGTACCTAGAAGCTCAAACTTTTTGTTCCATTTCCCATGCGCCATCCATTGCCCCAAGTTCAATTGTCCGGCTTTTAACAGGTTAGAGTTAAAAATAAAGGAATTAAAAACGTATGATGAATCTACCATTAACGTCACACTGCGCCGGCGATTGTGGATTTTATGGTTCGTGCTTGATTAGGTGTTAGGACCCCTATGTGTATCGCCATGACAACAGGCCAGTGTGAATGGAAAGCGGGTACACAAACGTGGTCAGCAATAAAAATATTCCACTAGCTTTCACCAATTTATGCTCCTCGAGGAAGGAGACTCCTTCTAATTAAATTACTAGTCTTAAAGCCCGAAGTTAATCACGCTTATGCAAAAAATAGACCTTCTCATCAGCTAATAGGATGTTCAGTTAAATAATTGTTGCAATGAATAAAAGAGTTAGGGGACTTTTCAAAGTGCTGAAAAAATCTCAAGCTTTCACAATCGTATACCACACCTCACTGTATGTGCTAGCTATTCTATGGAGATGTTCGAGTGCTATTTGCAATATGTTAGTTGTTTAACTCGGCGTTTTGGTGAAGGGACACTATTGACTTGACCATTGTACCATGACTGGTGGGCTGGTCTTTGGGAAATGCCAGCAGCCTAAATACCTCCTTGCTGTCTTCTTTCGCCTTCAAGGGAGTCTTGGGGCGCTACATATTAACGTCTGGAGGGGTTTTGGTGCAAGTAGAATTTGATTTCAGAAGGTTTCGTGCAAGATGAATGAATGTTTACTGGTGACACACAGAGAGTTCACGTGCTGTTGCAGAGACCGGCCACTTTGCTTAATTACGCAGTTCCTTAAACCTGCCCGGAATGCCGTAAGAAAAAAGAGAAGTATGGTAGGCATTACTGGCGTACGGAAAAGCCGAAGCGTTAAGGGGAAGTACAATGTGCGGAGTATAAAGTCCCTATTAAATTAAGCTCAAAGTTAGACAAAATTTTAAAGTATTAAAATACGTCCGCCCGTTGGCATGGCCTTCGAGCCATGATAGTAGCCTTTTAGGCCCTCAGTACGTTAGTAGTATATATTCTCTACAGTAACTTTACTTGCTATGGTTTTAAAGAAGACTCAAGGCGTTACATCATATTGCTACTAAAATGGAAACAAAATTGAAGATATTTAGGCTGAAGGGGGTTAATAAGCTGTCGCGCATCATTATAATGAGGAATTTTTAAACCTTGTCCCATTTTTTTAGTCATTACAGTCATTTGCCTGTCTTTGACACTTTTCAAATTTTTTGGCGGCTCGACGAAACCACCATAAATAAAGTTGGAAGCCGGCGTGCAACTGCGAATATTTCTCATTTAACTTAATTGCCATGAAATGAACTGGAGTATTTACGAAAACCATGTGTATCTGTAAAGTCAAACAAACGCAATTATTCCTTGTAGCGAGTGCATGCAGGCAAAATGTTTAGGCGCTATGCTTTCAGTATGATTACAGATTACTGCATATTTTAATCTCGTCATTATCATAGACCGAAATGACAGATCTGCATATGGGAACGAAAAATTTCTAGTAACAATATCTTTAACTCTTCCCCAAAATTTAGTCATGATTTGCAAAGATAAACACACAAACGTCCAGCGTTGATTAGCGTTTAAATACACTGGTTCTGCTAGTTTAGTGTATTGGAATGTGGTAGACGTGCTTTCCGAGTTACGAAGGATTTCTAATTCTTTGCTCTTGTCGTCGTGTTTCTTTGCTAGTTTTACCTTTCAGTAGTAGAATTTGTATAATGGTACTATAGGCCATCCACGAACCAGTTGTTGACCCACTATGTTCTAACGGCTAATAGCTTTTTCACCGGCTTGTTAAGATTCTTTCTCTAATTTCGACAAACCTTAGTATAATCCAAATATCCTCGCCCTCTTATGTTGGTTTTCACCACAATCAGCTTCTCGTTGCCATCAGTTCTCGTTGCACATGTCTGAGTCGTCCAAGAAGGATAATTTAACACAAGTATGCCGAAAATCCATCGTTACATGGTTACGTTTTTCGTCAATGTGCTCGCTTTTGCGGTACATTGAGACGCCGCTAATGGTATCGCCATTAGATTCTCCTAACCTTCAGTGCTAAAGTCTGCTTTCATCTAGTAACAATGGATGGTAACGCGGGAATTGGCCAAACCTCCTCGGAACTCGTTTCTGACACCTCATCCCGAGACTTCATGCAAATGCCTAACCCCGATACAGAGGGCAACTCCCCTGGGTATGTAGATACAGAGGACTTGGATGAGCCCATTGGAGAAAGTGGTACGTATTTCTCAATCGTTCACTTCGCCTTGCGTAGACAGGGATAATGACGAAGTTAGTGATGCACAGGTGGAGAGCGGTGGAGTTGCGACACTTTCAGAACCTGCCGAAGTTCCTTCGAAGTTGCTCCATCTCCCCACCTCACGAATCAAATCGATCATCAAAACTGTCCCAGCCGTCCATCTAGTTAACTCCGAAGCCGTCGCGCTAATCGGAAAGTCAACTGAATTCTTCCTTAACGAATTGGCAAGGGAGGCTCATCAGATGATCGTGGAATCTGGGAAGAAAACCCTTTCAATGGTCCACATCGAGGGCGTTATCCAAACCCTTCCCCAGTTCGAATTCCTTGATGGGATGCTGGTGTGACTGCTCCGCCCCACGTATGTAGAGACTTCTATTTTCTAATATCACTTGAAATAAAATCTACTTACGTTTGGCTTTCTGTAATTTATTCGCACACTCGGCTGACTAAAAATGAACTGAACTCGCGGGCCATCGGGAATCATTAAACAAAGTCGATCACTGTACACTCTTATTACTACTCGTAAATTGGTACTGAAATGGTTATGGAGCGTCACGATAATGCTTGAATTTGATGTTGATCCGCTTGTTCATCCTCCTAAATAGGTATTTGTGTCGCTTTCTGAGGTCCTTCAAACGAGTAGGTTCAAATTCCTCTAACCATGCCACTACAGCAGGGTCGTAGAGGAGACGACACACTCGTTGGAACTCATTTTTTGCATTGAATGCCCAGGATGGTCCGGTGTAAAAGTCCTCGGGCTTAAGTCTCCCGTCACCGAGGATGTCTGAAGCCATAATATTTAAGATGAATATTTCGTTTACCAATGTAATCGTTTTGTCCGAAGTAGGCACGATGCGGTGCCCACATGTCTCTTGGCTCATAATCAGGCAGTTTGACGGGCTCATCGTCCCATTCGATGCGAGGCAGGACACCGCCTGTGTACACCCGTGGGTTGTAGCGGATGTTACAGGGCTTGGGTTGCAAGTAGGGCTGCGGACCTCTGACCCCCGAACCGCCTCCAGTACCGCCTATCAGCGTTGCCTTCGGCTCATCGGTTCGCGAAAGTTCGGCTACCGCTCGATCTCGCCAAGTGGCGAAGAAGCGGCTGCAAAGAGCCCCGGTTAATGGTCGCTTCAATATATTCCAAGCCGACATTGACACAGTGCTAAATCAAAGACTTTAAATTAATTTCGATAGCAAATTTCCTACTCAGTGAAGTAACGAGGGTACCACTCATTAATGTCACACCCCTGTCTTTATATAAGTGCAGCACAGGCAGAAAGAATGCACAATTTGGCTATGCAAAAAATTTACTTAATACTTTATACAAGGCGAAAGAGGAGTCATTAGCAATGGCATCAAAAGCCATACGGTGCAGGATTGTTGGATGGCTGTAAAGAATGTGGAGGAACACCCTGCATATGAATACCGCTGAGACTTTCCTGGTGCTGCATAAACTGTTGTTGGCCTATCAAGTTGGGATCTGATCCAGTTCTGTTCATTGCGAAAGGTTGATGCTGATTGTACGGAGATGGGGCGTCACTATAAATTCGTCGTGCTTGTGGTTTCTGGGGTGTAAATGGGTGCTGTGGTGTAGAAAGGGCCGGATTTGGGGCTCCAAGTAGACTGGGACCATCATTTATTGGAGGCGCTGATTGGTCGTCCTGAGTGAATGCAGTCAGAACTGAACTTGAATTAGCAGACACCTCTGCCATTTCTGGTTGTTGCGCTTGATAGTGTTGGGGTAGCATATGAGTTCTCAGAGTTTGGTGTATCCTCTGCGGTTGAGAGGAGTGCTCCACCTTAAGAGCTTTCATTGATTGACGTTCCGGAAGCGCGTCTCTTAGAGCGTCTTTAGAAACCGCTGACAACAAGGCAGACTGGACTTGTTGCAAAATATCTATGAGACGATGGGCGTCATCAGAAACATCATCAAAGTTGGATGAAGGGTCTGCTGGATTAACGATGGGTAAATCAATCCATGACTCGAAACTCAATAGTTGAGTTTCCAACTCGTCACAACGATTAAGAGCGTCCAATAGAGCTTTGTTAAAATTTTGGGAGTTTACGGTAAGCCGGCTAGAAAAGGATATTGATTCAGTAATCAGGCACGTGAGATCAACATGACCAAGTGATATGAATACAAGCAGTGATAAATAGAGAAGGCTCACAAACCGAATTAACCATAAATGGGAACGAACCATCTTCCTCACCAAGTTGAAAAAGTGGTTATATAAATTCAATACATGGAATAAGACTACAAGCCATATGATTTCACAAAGGAAGTCGATGAAACTTTGACGATGGAATATTATTTCAACGGCTAAGTAGGAAACAACGAAATATGCCCAACATAAATCCAACAGATTAAAGAAAGACAATCAATGGCCCAGCAAGCAAAATCCTACATAGCACACCCTCTAAGCATTAGGTCAAGAGATTCAAAAAAAGCATTTAATATGTGAGAGAGGACGCTCAAACCCAACTTACTCCCCGGTCTCGCAATCAATTTTGTCTTTGATAAGCAAATAGTAGCTCTCATAAAGTGTCTACGAAAAGGCATAAGTAAGCACTCCATTACCTTTATATTCTCCTTAAGCTTATCAATCGACTTAAAGTAAACACCAAGACAGCGCTCTAAAACACTCCTATCACTTGCTGCCATGTAGATCTTCCAAAGGTGACACAAGGGCTTGAATATGGTGGATAAGAACGCTACAAGCTTAAACAATACCCTTACAAAAAGGGAGCTACGTCATCGTTAGTATTTCATGATCACAACAATAGAACAAAGAAATGACTTATTCTAGCAAATAATCCACGTCTAAAATACAAGTAAACTTTTGAAAAAGCCCAAAGTTATCTCTAAAGCATTAAAAAGTAGATGAAATTCTGTTGTGGTTCATTAATTTTTTCCAAAAAAAGGCATTAAAGCCCGCTTTTTGTAAGCGACATAAATATAGACTTACAAATCAAAAGGCATTCCGCAATATGAAAAATTTAATACCATCACTAAAATCAATAACCTGTAAAATTTATAACTTTTTATCTGAATATTGCCTCTTCTTGAAAGAAAAGTGCAAATTTGCGTGGTGCTTCTAAGGTGGTAGCTCTCTTTGCTCTTTACAAAGCTAAAAGTTATTGTTTTGGCGCAATCTTTAGTTGTGTGCTTGCCCACGTAGGTATCCGGCGTAGCGCGCTGAGACTTCCCCAAAGACAAAAGCTGATATAATACATGGGCATAATATATATGTTTGACATACAGTAGGGCTCAGGACTTCTGCCGAAGACCAGTCCACTCAGCAGGGACATAACGACGCAGAACCTACGTGGCTCCATTGCTAAAACTGAGGCTTAAACAAACAGCCAATGTACTACATAGTCCCTCGGTCAACCTCTTGTCTCCGTCATTGCAACGTTATCGGCCCTGTAAGGAAGCACTCATGAGCCAAGCATGTCAGGTACTGAATTTCCGTGCAATCAAGAAAATAAGTGACCGTAATATCACTTATTTTTCCCCCCCACCCCCCAAAAAAATAGTTCGGCTGAATCCGGATTTTTATCCAATGTAAAATGAATTCGGAGACAGGGAATGTCCTGGTCATAGTTGAAGAGGTACTGGCCTAAAATCAGATTCTTGTAGCAAAGAGTTGAATTCACCACTATTTTGTAGGGGTATAGCTTCGCTCCTAATCCTTCCTGCCTCGTTGTTCGCACTTCAGAGCTGCCCTGCCATATGTACTTGGATTCCACCCAGGAGGAGGAGGAGCTGTCCAGGAAATATTCCAAATTCTCATAACTGACGTCTCCACACAAGTGTGGAGGACAGCTTCGTAGTGGACTTTTCCTAGATATTTTACGACTAGTGTCACTTCAGTTGTTAATGGCTTAGCCGCAGACCATGGTTTTGGGGTAGTCGCAAAAGGCAGGTGTCATTTTCAGCCATTTTTTAGAGGACAACACTAATTCTTCCATTTGCAGGATACGCACATCTTCCACCACGCAAAGGCTTTCAGCTAGCAGTGGGAAATTGGTTGTTATCCTGTAGGTTCCGGTCTGCTTTTCGCTGACACCAATGTAGAGAGCCAAATACATATATATATATATATATATATATATATTTAACACAGTAGAGCTTGGCTATTGATGAAGGTACAATGACGAAACACTTGAATGGCTCTTCTATAAAACTGAAAATCAAACAGGCGACCAACGCATCACAATAGATCACCTCAGACTGTATTTTCACTCAGTGGTATGGCCTTTGGACCATGTTAACAGCTTTCCAATGTGTCGAATTTGGCGTTTATCTTTCAGACTCGGCCTTCACCATCTTGAAAATATTTAGGCATTCTTCAGTGGTAATATTATGAATGGGCTACAATGATCGGAGTTAAGCATTTTTCTAGAACACTCCCTTCTCAGTATTTGATGATACCAGTTTCATTGAGGGGTTTTTCACTAAGCTTTTCTTACCTTTCAGGTTTATTCAAACAAGCATACATTACACCAGCTATTCCCTATGTTTGTAATATATACTCTGTCATAACGCTTTGGCATGGTACGACTTCAGAAAAGGCACGGAGCCCTATTTTGTTGGCAGTAGCAACCGGACCCCATTGGTTTGCACAGCAACACATATTTCAAAAATCGAATACTATACTTTAACGTCATAGGATTGACCTATGGAGACTCCCAAGAAATGAGTAAAAATATCATCTTCCTTAGGCAATTACTAATATCTCGAGTTCTGTATGAATACTACCAAAAAGTGAAGTGACATTGGAATTGAACCATCTGGAAAAGTGTATTCTATAAAATTGCATTACATTAAGGCACCCGCATGAAGATATCAATTGTTCAAGCAGGCGATGCTTTCTCCTCGTCGATATAAGGTGATTGGGGCCCAGATTTACAGATGACTGGAAAGAACTGAAATGGGTACAAGGTGGCAAGAGTGAATGGTTACCAAACACCAAACTCGCAAAATTATACTGCATCTTGTCTTTTATCAAATGGCTCTGCTTTGGACCACTTTTTATGAGTAGCGATTGGTATACGAGTTGCCCCCTTGCAATGTGTGATCCCCTCTTGATCAGTAACAGGCTTTTTGTTTGTTTTTCTCTCTCTTTTGTCCTAGTGGAATTACATGGATGTATTAGCGTCGTCAAGATTGAATGCTTTCCCACACAGAGAAGAATCCATTGATTAGCGATGCCGCTTTGCGGGTAGTTTGGGGGTTTGAACCAGGTCTTTGTGGTGCTCGACGCAGCAGGACAAGTAACGAGATCACGGTAACGACCTCCAGTAAAGAAGAGGGGTTCAGTGACCTGATATTTTGTTCGACTGTAAGGTGATCCGGGCAAGCGTTCGAGTCGTAGGTGGTTTTTATCTCGCTCTGTGTCATGGCTTTCGGGTCATGCTATCAGTTTTTCAACCTTCTCATGCACTTTGACTATGCGTTTTTCCACACTATCCTGGGTTTCCACGACTTCAGAAAAGACTCGGGATTATGAAGTAATTAGTTGAGATGGTTTGGAAGAAAATAATCTGCTAAGGTACAGTTAAAACTGTGTAGCCGCCCGAGCCTTGCCTAAAGCCGTAACAAGCCAAAAAAGTGTATCAAAGTATATGTCACTAAGGTAAGGAAAAAATTAGGTCTGCCATTATGGCTGAAAACTAGGCCGACGTGTAAATTGCAGCCTTTGGAGACTCAAGCGTCCAAGTAGTTCAACCCAATTAAACAAAGTATCCGGCTACCAACTGCCTCCACTGTTTATTTTTTGTGTGTGTCTGAGCTCGTTTGCAATCACGGTGCTGTTGCTTCTTTACAAAGTGCTGAAACGGAGTAACTTAATAGACATAACCGGCTTTTTAAGCCCAAAGCATATGACTTAGTAAAACTGGCTGCTTTTATGTAAATTTTGTAAGATACTCTAACTTTTGAGTTTTAAACGTGTTATTTAAACGAAAAATGATTAAAACAGTGACGTTTGCATTTGTTTCCTTGTAGTGTTTTAATACACCAGTGGACTTCCCTTTCAAGGTCGATTACCTAACTTGTTTCTGCCTACATTGGCTTTCGGTTGGTTTTATGGTCATTTTATTATTGATTCTACTACGATGCTTGCATAGGTTGGTTTTCGTACATTACCTTCATTTGCCAACCGCACTCACTACCATTGCCTTGCGAATTTCTTCAGTACTATGTGTTATTTCTCGTTTTTTCTTTCTATTCTACGCCTCAGGTGTCAGCACAATCAAGGCTCCAGGAATGCATTCTGTATTTGGGAGCGTTGTGCGCGCGCTTCCCATTGAAGCTGCCGCTCTGTCGGAACAGTGCAACAGCGATGAATTCCCTGAGAAAGTGAATCTAACCCTTGGAGGTATGTAGCTGACCACTGCACTATTTTCTAGTGTATCGAAATTTCGACGGAAAAGCTGTAAGAATGCCTGTCGTCAAGAAAATGGAGCTCAGAATGGCAAACGATGATTCGCTCAACAAAGATTACCTTCCTATTATCGGGAAGGAAGCATTTTGTTCCGCTGGTGTGCGCTTGCTCCTCGGAAAAAATCATCCTAGCTGTGTCTCAAGATTGGTAAGTCAATTTCTCCCATCCAATTTTTACTTAGGCGGGAGGTGTTCAAACAATTGGCGGAACTGGTGCCGTTTTCTTGTCCGCCAGATTTCTTCATAGAATTCTCGGTTTTAAGATCGCCTACATTCCTAAACCCAGTTGGCGTAAGTTTTCCTACATCCCAATGTATTTTTAGCCAGTCATAGGGGTATTTGTGACCATGAAGGGTACACTGTTAAGGAATATCGGTACTGGAATTGGAACAATCAATGCCTTGACATCAATGGCATGTTAGAAGACCTCTCCAATGCACCAGAATGGGCTGTTGTTATTCTTCATGCATGTGCTCATAATCCCACTGGAATGGATCTAGCCAAGACTCAGTGGCTTGAAGTAGCGCGCATAATGAAGGTATGTGATTTCGCAGCTGATGTCTTCCTTTTGTTGAAACAGTGAGCATTGTGAACGCATCTGATTCATGTTTATCAAGGTTTTCACAATGTATGTCTCAGTTTTTGCTCTTGTTGATTGCATTCTTCCTCCCGAAAATGCATGTGCTTAGCTTATTCCTCTAAGATTTGTTCCATATTGTATTGCTGTGGTACAACTATCCATTTCCGACGAAGATATTGATTGTTTCCTCTTGTATACTTGAAAGCCACCGCCTTCATTAGTAATCAAGCTATTTCCTAACTAAGACAAGAAGGCTCTTCCCGCTGTTTGACATCGCCTATCAGGGATTTGCATCCGGTGATCTTGACGAAGATGCTTGGCCTATTCGGATGTTTATAGATCATGGCTTTGAGTTATTCGCTGCACAATCTTTCTCAAAAAATTTCGGTCTCTACAGTATGTTCTACATTATTCATATCTCATTTGAATCGTCGAGCTTCTCTTATTGTTAATGTTATTCTCGTGCCAGATGAGCGGGTCGGAAACCTCATCTTTGTGGCCCGAGACGCGGAGACGACGGCCTGTGTCAAATCTCAACTTCTTGTTCTTGCGAGATATGTCTGGTCCAACCCCGTCAACCACGGCTCCTACATTGTCTCTTCTGTGCTGAACGACCCCGAGCTTACCGAAGAGTGGTACTTTTTTTTGGTCCGATATGCATGACGAAGCGAATCTTCTGGCTTCATTTATTTGCCTAAGTTTTGCACCATATACAAATAAGCATAGGTGCCAAATATTCCTAAATTTGCGGTGTTTCTTTCTTGTAATTAACAACTTCTTTTCGCATATTTTTCGACTTAAATATTGCGGGAATTTCCTATAATTCGTATTTTCCGTGACGAGTTTGGCTCAGAATGTATGTATGCGAACCGTCGGTCCCTTTATTACTGTACTGTTTAGTTCCTGTTGAACTTTAATGCTACGAAGCCTTTAAATGAAATGCATTTCGTGTAGACAACTTCTACTTCATTCACTGTCAGTCCTGACCTTGGTTAGGCTTCTGTTAACTCATTCGCCTTTTTACACACAGGAAACGCAATTTGGCAGAAATGGCCCAGCGCATAATTAAAACGCGTGAACTATTCCACAAAAAACTCGAAGCTCTTGGTACTCCAGGAAACTGGGATAATGTGATAATTCAGCGAGGCATGTTCTCATACACTGGTCTCTCTCGTAAGTATGTGTCAATTTCAAAAAATGCAAATATCTGGACTTGTCTTTTCCCCATAGTTGGTGTAAATGTCATACTTATTTAGAGAAGTTGGTTTCCAGCAGAGTTATTATTGCTGCTGATCATCGGTCAATTTTGTAGTCTATTTTTATTTTTTCTCAATACTTGTGCATTCGACTAATTTTGTGTGCTCCTTCTCTAGGATCTGTTCCTTAATTCTTTAATCCTACCCGTGCAAAACCGGGAAGGTGGTATGGAGAGCCGTCACTTGTTGCTTATGTTTAAAAGTAGTCCGCTGGTAAATTAACTGTTTCCCAGGCACTTTCCAGTTTAACTTTGTTTGCTGCAGGACATCAATATATTGTACACAACATTTTTTGTTTTCGGACTATTATTATCGAGCCCTCTTTAGTGTTGCCGGCTCTGATAACAATTAGGCTTCTAGGTGCCAGTTTATTTGCCAAATCTATTAGAACTTAATATTTAAGTTAATCTAAGGCTCGGTTTTACAAGCCGCTCTCTGTAATTGTCTTTTTTCATCTTCAAAGGTGAACAAGTCAAGCACCTACGCGAGAAGTATCATATTTATCTCACAGCTGAAGGTCGAATGAATATGTGCGGATTGAACTGGAACAATATGGACTACGTGGCAAATGCCTTTCACGAAACTATCACCGGTGGATCGGTTTCAAACGTTGATAACTGTGATGGAAATCGCTGATCAGTGCCACCATGTTGATTCGACTTCATTTGTACCTTCATAGTGTTTGTATCTGTTTCTTTATTTAATTTTTTTCTAAAAGTCTTAGTATTTACGATTCTATGTGCCAGATACTGTTACTGGGCTCTGATCACGTGGGTAATCGAGTAATGACTAGGTTGGTGTTGCTTCTTCATTGCCACTTATTAATGCTTAAAAAATCGCCGATTTTGTTTTTTGAAATAGCCTTATCGTACGGACCACTTCCTCTTTTCTCAAAACTGCCTGCTCAAAGCTACGAAACTTGTACTTTGTTTAAATTCGGCAAACACTGTGCGTGCTGTCAGCTCACCTCTTTAGATGTGACATCTTTGGGTTTCCCAAAAGAATGGTGCTCCAATTGAAACGCCTGCCCTAGGGATATCTCCAAGTTTTCTCCGCGTCTTCATCCCGATCCCAAGCTGCAGTCTGTTCACTTGTAAAACGATCAAGTGTCCACTTCAAATCGGGTTAATTTTTTCTTCACGCTTGCACGTGGCGTTTTGCAGCTTAGAGTTTCTTCTCACAAGTCCCCTTCTAAAAGAGAACCTAGTGCTGGATGTTCAGTTAGCGGGGGGATGTTTAAATCGTGCGGCTGGACTTCCTCTCTTTTGGCCTGATAGTGAGTTTTTATTGTTCAGCTGGCTATGCGTGCCATTCGGTCAGTTGAAGCATGCCACCGATCATCCATAGTAAACTTGGAGATTCAAAAGTTGCATATTACAATGGAATATAGCTTCTACATTAAATGGACATCAATGATCATTGTTTTTTAGTTAGCGTTATGATCTCCGGTGGATGCGGTAGGACTAAAGCCTTGAAAGCGTTTGTCACTCTCTTGCCAAGGTAATGTATCACAATCTTTACATTGAACGATACTGCAAGTAAAATTGCTATTTAGACTTGATACCCTCTAACTACACTCAGATTGCTGTCTTGTTTTTAGGTAAAAACAGGCAATGCATGCGTTTTTCGACAAGGCCTTTTCATGGAGTAATTGTCGCGAAAGCATAAATGCGTTCAACTAGCCGTGCTTTATTATTTTAGCATATCAGAGACAGATTTACACGTTTTAAGTGGTGACCGGTACGGGTGGTATTCTATGCTACTCCGTGTAGCACCCTGATTCTTTCCTTAATCTTGGGAAGTCATATTAGTATGGCAGAAAGAGCTGAGGCTACTAGCATGGCCCTGAAGCCATGCCGTCTAGCGGAAGTACAACCTGCGTAGACCTAAGTGCCTACGTAATAAAATGCAGTTAAACAAACCGTCAAAGCAGTACACATTCTTGCACCGTCTTTTCGTTTACTCCACCTCGGCTAACTCATGCCAGCTACCTCTGAAGGTGCAAATTGATCTAATGGTTAAAAATTGAAGCTCCAACTCGAATTCATAAAAACCGTTGAACCGTGTAAGTTTCTCATTTTCGGCCAAATTGCAATCCACTCTATGCGTCCGTCGACGAACGACCCACTTGTTGTGGACTGAAATAATTTTGTTAAGCAGAATTTGGTATTGGGTTGTTTTTGTGCATCGGTTCATTTGTCTTCGCTATGAATTAAGACCTCTTGATCATAGCCCCGAGACTTTCCCGAAGGCGAAAGAAGTCATGGTACTCGGGCTCGGGGCTACTGCCGTAGCTCGAAGGCCAGCCCGCTCAGCAGAAGCATAATAGCGCAGAACCCACGTGGCTCCTTTACCGAAGCTGAGGCTTAAACAAACAGCCAACGTACTACATAGCCGCTCTCTTGAGCGTCATTATTGGCGCTCCCCTCGGTCAACCTCCCATCTCCGCCATTACAACGTTATCGGTGCTGTAAGGAAACACACACGAGCCAAGCATATCAGTTACCGGATTTCCGTGCAATCAAGAAACTAATTGACCATAACGTCACCTATCTCCCCCCCCCCCCCCTAAAGATTTGGCTGAATCTGGATTTTTATCCAATGTGGAAATGAATTCGGAGACTGGGAATGGGCCGGCCATCTCGCGTATCCATAGCTGGTCGTAGGAACATATGCCCTTCTTCCATCACACAAAGGCTTATCAGCCAACGGTAGGAATGTGGTTGTTATCTTACAGGATTAGGTTTGCTTTCCGCTGCCACCAGTGTACCGCTGCAAGACCTTCCTGAAGAAGAAAGAAGACATAGTACTGGGGGGTATACATATATTTTACATACAGTGGTGCTTGAGGCTACTGGCATGGCTTGGAGGTTATCCGAGCCGGCGAAGTTACAATGGTGGCGATCTAAATTAACCCATTACCAAAAAAAAATACGAACCAACGTATTATACCTGCGCTCTATCCTAGCGAGACAGTGTGAACTTTAGGCATGGTTTATAAACGTGAAACAAGTTTACTACTGGGCCAGCGTGGGTGAGTCATTTTTGGCACCTTATTCTCGCCAGTTTGACCTGAATTGGGGGTGCGCCGCCTTTGTTTAACTGGAACAGATCAGTTAACCTATCATTACAACTATGCGAGTGACAAATTACATTTAAGTTAGCTCACGTTTGTCATCATATTATGGGGGCATAATGCAAAGCATCTTTTATACCATAATCATATTATTGGTTTATGACAATCGTAACTAAACTGTGTGTTCATAATGAAATGTCATGCATTTAATTGCCTTGAAATTTGTATGTGCCTTCTTACTATCTGCTTTATTTAAGATTTGGCTCCTGACACAGCATTCTTCTGTGACTTTTTAATCATACTAGATGAGGGGCTCTTTCAATATCTATTCATGCCAGTACTTTTAACTAGCTATTTTATCAAGGCCCGAGCTGTCCATCATAGTTCATTCGATGTCTCAATCATCAATATTTATCATGTGCTGTGGGAGACTCCCAAAATGTACCTGATGCATTTAATTCTCAAATGTTATTTACATATCGGTGTCTAGAAGGCAATAAGTGCAAAAACCTTTGAGAGCGCCCAGTAAATGCTGGAAAACACATTGTTGAGGTTTCAGTGCACTCCAAGAACCACATTTGGTTCCTCTGCCAAAGTTTAGACAAATCAGTGAATTTTTATCAAATAGTTATTATTACTTGTTGTGTTTGGTAAATATTTGTTGATTTGATAGCTCTTTTGTAGTTTCATCGTCTATGAAAAAAGGCCATGGAACTGGCTCGGTAAGGCCTGTCTTTTCTTTTGAGTACGTTTACTTATGTAAATAAGTAGAATTGTTTTTTAAATATGCGGCAGCTGTTCGAACACCGCGTCCGGTTACGGGTTCGGGCACTAGAAACACCATGATTCTATGTTGGGTATTTATTGGAGAGTATCATAGTGCCATAAAGTATGTATTTTTGTCTTCAGGCTGTAAACCTCGTTATTTATCACTTCCGATACTAGTTTTCCAGCTTGTTGCGTCAAAGTGACCCCAAGTATTTCCTGATTGATAACAAGACTGCAATAGCCCTACACTTTTCTATATGTAATCAAAAGATAATAAGCATGCATTTAAGTAATTTGTTTGTTGTGGGAAATTTGCAATTTGCCTTTATCTTTAGTCTACGACGTATGCACACGAACCCACGCTACCCCTCATACATCAGCGATCCGTGCAGCAGCACGGATCAAAGTAGTCTCACTGCCTACACACTTGATTAAGGTGTACGAGTGATTTTGTCCAGAGGTCATGGTCTGCTAATGACACTGTCTCGTCCGGAGCAGTGTGAACACTGTTTTTCCTACATCCCGAAGGCTATGAACCGGAGACTAACCGCTATCGTCCCGGCCCCTTGCCTTCCCCACAACCTCTCCAACCCCGCCCACGGATGGCACTCAGACTGTGCGCACTTATATCGATTGACGAAGCGGCACCCGCATAACGGGGCACATACACATGCAGAGCCCGATAAACACAAAGACCGCCAGATTAAATTACCAGCGGTGTATCCTTTTCCTGGTTGAAATGGCTCCCCGCCTCTTCGGTGCTGTGCGAGAGTGTGCACTGTGACGTCGATTGGTGCAAGGACGTTGATTATGGTGGAAATCAGCAACACAGTGTCCAACACCACAGTGACATCCGTATTAACAAAACGATGTAGCATCCCTCGCTCTGTTTTGGCTTTTGTTTGCATACTTAGGGCACACATACTCAATCTTCGTTAGTTGCACAATTCCCGAAAAAATCGTAACCGAAAATGTGAAATATTTATTTATAGACCCTACTTATTGAATTTATTTATTATAGCGCCCACGGTCGAGACCTCGTATTTAGAAGCACACAGTTTCTCCCCGCTCCATAGGTAAATGTTTGCCAACTGAGGTGAGGACACGGAATCCCTTCAAGGGGAATTCTAACTAGCCACCTGTGTGCTACCGTGATTGTCCAATCGGATATCAGACATGGTGGAACACAAAACATCTTGGTGGTGTCACCTCAAGCTACAAAAATAATTTACTCCTACGGTTTCATGTATCTGAACATTTAAGTATACCGATTTATTTACATGAAGAAGTGTTTGGGTGAACTCCCAAGAACCACCCCCTACATTGACCAAAACACAAGTTTTCACAAAAACTGAGGTAGATATAAAAGTGTGTATTTAATGCATTACGCAGCCAGATAACTTCGCAGTGTGATCAAACAGGTCTAGAAGTAGGGCTTGTCAATGGTAGCACTCCTCTTATGCCATAGCATGTGCCTGCGCCACCACACTCCTCAGCAGCATCGACTAGTCCCTCAGTCCTCGTTCAGCAGAAGGCGGGCGCAACTGCTCCGCTCCACACCCACCGCTCGCGCGTACGCTTGTGCACGCTGCAGACACACCAACAGCAGGGTTTTGGGGAGGAAGGCGGATGAATGTGTGGGTGGATGTGTACGTATGTATGTATGTGGTGAATGATGCACTCACGCACGCATGCACGCGAACAAGCAAGCACACGCAATAATGCCATGGGCGCGCTTTTCTAATGCAACGGCCCAGTGCCCAGCTGAGCCCAATTAGGGCGAACTGGCTGA